ATCACATCTTGATTTGTTTGCATAAACAACAACAACAACATAGCCTTTTAGTCCCAAGCAAGTTGGAGTAGTGGTGTAGAATAATTATTATTATTATTATTATTATTATTATTATTTAATAATGAGTAGTTAGCTTAGAGAACAAGTTAGGGTTATTAGTTTTGAGAGTTTTATATAAAGGACTCTCCTGCTTTATTGTTACTTGGTGAATTTTGATATTGAGAGTTTTATATAAAGGACTCTCCTGCTTTATTGTTACTTGGTGAATTTTGATATTGAATCTGATATTGTGAGTTGTGTGTGTTTAAGGAGAGAGTATCCGTACGCTTCCCTACATCAGATAGGCTGTTTGCATAAACAAAATATAAAGCATCAGGTAGGCTGTTTGCATAAACAAAATATAAATTTTTTTTGCTGATACATTTATACATGGTTTACTTTACCAGAGGCTGTTATTTCCAAGAAGGCTCAAAAGTGAAGATGGATATGGATGCCGACACTGCATACCAAAAAGCCCTCGAAACAGTCATAAACTGGATAAACCGTGAAGTAAACACAACCAAGACTCAAGTTTTCTTTCGTACATATGCTCCTGTACACTTCAGGTTTGTTCCAAATTCACCTTTGCAACTTCTCATGGACACAAATCGAGTTTTCCTCGTTAAACTTTGCAAAATACAAAATTTTTTCCAGAGGCGGAGATTGGAGGTCCGGTGGAGCATGCCACATGGAAACACTCCCTGAGCTTGGCCCCACGATTTCTAACTCGTGGACCAAATACACTACTTTTGGGCGCGTAATGTCATATGATTCGAACTCGTCATTTTCACGGTCATTGGAAGTGCTAAATATAACCCACATGACATCAAGAAGAAAAGACGGGCATTTGTCTTTGTATTACAGGGGTAAAAAAGACGGTCCTGCCCCTCTTCACAGACAGGATTGCAGCCATTGGTGTTTGCCGGGAGTGCCCGATGCATGGAACGAGTTACTGTATGCTCTTTTCTTGAAAAGAGAGGCAGTTAGGACATCAGATTCATCTGCCTTTCATCTGCAGGTATAATTGGTTATGTCAAAAGGTGTAGATAGATAGTATTTATTGATATGGGGAAAGAGATTTTTTTTTTTGGTTACTTGTTTATGGGGTTGGGTGTCTCACAATTTTTGGTGCATTTTTTGTTTTAGTTTTTGTAGGATATAAATAGTAGGTGAACAACAGATTGACTGATCTGTGGGGGAAGATTCTGAGAAAACATACATTTTAATTAGTTATTTATTTATTTTTTTTCTGCATTTCCATTCAATGTGATTACATTGTAGTTGTGCGTAGTCAGTTTTTGGAGTGGATTTATCATTTTTATCACTTGTATGAAATAGCACATTTCAATGTCATTGGTTGGGGCTTGAGGTCTAAGAGGAGGATTTTCCACTGGATGCTCGTCAGTTTCATAGTCAATTGCCACAGCCAATTTATATTCAGGATTGCTATTTGTTGCCCCAAATTACTACTTATTGCTCAAAAAAAAAAATAATAAAAAATAATAAATTTACAAAAATATCATTGTGGTAAAAAAAAAAGTTATTGGAAAAAAAAAGCATTCAAACGTCTAACAACAAAGCTCGGAAGCCAAAGAAACGTCCAGGATCTAAGCTTGGAAGCCAAATAAACGTCCAACGTAGAAACTCGACTGTGAAAACAAACGTCCAAGAGCTAATCTTGGAAGCCAAACAAACGTTCAAACATGAAGTCCGACTCTGAAGCAAAACGTCTAAAAGAGAAGGGGCAACATATTTATAACTTTTGAAATCCAAGCTTATCATACAGTTAAACGTCCCAGTAAAAAACTTAAGGCCATGTAAAACGTCCTAGAGTTAAACTTTAAAGCCAAACAAATGTCCTACGTGAAGCCCAACACTGAATCCAAACGTCTAGGAGCTAAGCTTGGAAGCCAAAGAAACGTCCAAGAGCTATGCTTGGAAGCCAAATAAACGTCCAAACGCGAAGCCCGACTCTAAGCTAAACGTCTAAAAGAGAAGGGCAACAAATTTAGAATTTTTAAAATCCATGCTTATCATATAGTTAAACGTCCCAGGAGGAAGATTAAGGCCCTATGAAACGTCTTAGAGTTAAGCTTTGAAGACAGACAAACGGCCTACTGTAAAGCCCGACTGTGAAGAGGAACGTTCACAACGAAAACTTAGCATACAATCAAACGTCCCAGAAGGAAGCTTATGAGAACAACAAACTTCCTTAAGGAAAGCTTAATGTACCCAGAAACGTCCAACGTGAAAGCTTCATCAATAATTTGATTTCTTCCACGTATCACTCAAACTACTTTATCACATATCTCAATAGTATAAAGGTTTTTACATAACCGAGTCCTTGTTTCGAGCATATTCAAAGGTCTAGATTTTTCTTCTAGGCCTTTAATTCGATATAGCAAATCGTACCTAACATCAACCCAAGCAACAAACCTTTGAAAGGATATAGAATTGTTATTTTGTAATATACCCTTATTTTTAATATAATTTTAATAATAATATCATAATCATATTTAATAATGACAAAATAAATACGCTTTAGGGTTTAGTTATAAAATATAATTAATACAAGACCCGTGCACTACACGGGTACTTGTTAAGAAAATTATATTTGAAATTAATTATTAATAACAAAAAATAATTTGTTTTTGTTTTTTAATACTTTTGGAAAAAAATATTATTATTTATATTTAAAATGACATTGTCACTTACACAGACTTATAATGTTATATTATATATATATATTTTTAATTTATATCAAATAACTATTTTGTAATTAATTTTGTTTAAATAATTTAAATTTTTTAAATTAATATTAATAGATAGTTAATTTTAATTATAAATCGTAATTTAGGAGAGAAATATGAGAGAAAATTATAAGATTGCCCAATTTAAGAAGGAAATTTGTACTAAGAGAAAAAAAATAACAAAATTAAATGTACACTTACCAAGTTTGAAAAAAGCTATTTATGTCTATACCAAGCCTAATTCTAAAGCAAAAAGAATTAGTATACAAAAAACATTCCGAAGCATAGATTTTTTGCCACGTTGGCATCTGAAGCCTGTGATCCTGCCATTTAGGCTCAACGCATTCTGAATTAATATATAGGGTAGGATTAATATCTTATTAGTTTATAGATAATTATAATAGTTGTGAATGAACCTCACTTCGACTATTGATCCAACAAAATGAACCTCACTTTTTAGTGAATCAAAGTAGAGGTACCGTATGCACGTTCTTGTTTATATCTTACGAGTTCAGAGTACTAGTCATGGCGACGGGATGGTCCAGTCCGCTAGTTCGACCAGAATCGATCGAATCGACGCTGAACCGGCCCGTGGTCAACAGGCCCAGAACTGAGCCTGTAGTTTGACAGGGCCAATTCTGAGCCTCATGTATAAAAACTTTTGACCCGGTGGGCCGGGTCCAGGCCGACCCTCGAGATGGCCCACCATATTTTCCTCATTTTTTTTTAATCTGTTGACCGGGTCAAGCCCGCCCGTGGCCTGGTATTGGACCATTGGCAGCCCGCTAATCTAGGCCGTTGAAAGCGTTTGACCGTTGAAGATCCAACTGTTAAATTTTTTTTATTTTTTTATTTTTTAAATTCGATTCCACGGTTTGGGTCTAGGTTCAGTTTCGACCTGGCCTGCCGGTTCCACAACAGTTGAGATCCAATGTCAAGATTTAGTTGTGAATAGATCTCACCTAGAGTTTTTATCCAACAAAATGAACCCCCACTTTTCAGTGAATCAAAGTATAGGTATTGTATACACGTTTTTGTTATATCTTACTGGTTCAGAGTACTACTCATGACGACGGGATGGCCTAGCCTGTAATTTTGACCGGAATCGATCGAATCGGCCAGAACTGGCCCGTGGTCAATAGGCTCAGAACTGAGCCCGTAGTTGACCGGGACAGTTCTGGGCCTCATGTATAAATTTTTTGACCCGGTGGGCCAGGTACAGACCGGCCCTCGAGATAGCCCGCAATATTCTCCTTTTACCGGTGGAGATCCAACTGTCAGATTTCTTATATTTATTTATATTTTAAATTTGGTTTCACGGTCCGGGTCCGATTTCGACCCAGCCCGCCGGTTCCACAACGGTTGGCCAATGGTCAGATTCTGACCCTCATGACCCAACTGGCCGACCCGGACTCGGACTCGGCAGGTACTTTAAATTAAATAAAACAAAATAAAAAAAAAATGAATAAATTCAAAATAAATCCCAAAAAATTCCTATAAATATATGCTCGGTTTTAATAATTAATATCTTAAGGCAAAGGGGCAACACATTAGATGCGTGTTATTAATATATTTTATGTTACCTTGGATCCTATATAATTTGATATTTTTTGAAATGCAAATAAAATATACTAATAACAATTAAGCTTCACTTAAATTTCATGCTTAATAATTTTGATCTCCAATTGATTTTTTTTTTCTTTTAAAAAAATATTTAAAATGGGGGTTTAGAGTTTAGTTATGAAATATAATTAATATCTTATTAATATATATGTTATTATGATAGTTGTGAATGGACCTAATAGATTGTTGATCCATTCCTGTTTATCACATTCTTGTTTATATTTTACGGGTTGAGAGTACTAGTCATGGCCACAGGCTTATAGCTTGTGAACAACCTTCTCCTTGTGTGGATCCAACCATGTAGACTCATTATAATGCAAAACACGCATTATCTTGAGGACGCTATTTTTGAATCAGGACGCAACTTTTCTCTCATGTGTTTTTTTCGTACTTCTCCATGGTGTCGGCTTGCCATATAAGTCTCCATGTGCCACTTTTAAAACGCGCAACGTAATCTCGACTACTTACATTTTTATTACCACCTAATTTTCTGTACAATTGATTCTTCACATCCTTGCTGATGTGGAAAGTAAAAGCAAGTGGGGAATCTGAGGAAATTGTTCCTTAATGGGAGCTATCGACCCCATCTCCCCGTCAGTCAAAATGACTGTGGGTTCAACATCCTTCCCAATCAAAATCTGTAAGTTCTTCAACAACCATCGATAACTATTAGCTGACTCATCCTTCATAATTGCATATGCAATCAAAAAAAAATTTATTACCAGGAGTCATGCCAATAATTTGGAACAAACGCATCGTACCTGTTTGTCTTGTACGCACTGTTTTAAATAGCTCGCGATGTAGCTCGCTATATTATTTATTTATTTATTTTTTCCAAAAAACGCGACGTAGCTTTATATATTTAGCGTTTTTGTCGAAAAGCTTACGCGAAATTCTGAAATAGCACTCTTTTTTACGTTATTTTGCGCTATTTCACGCTATTTTTGCTACTTTGCGCTATATTTCTGCAACGACATTTAAACAATAAAATATTCAAAAAACTTGTATTTTTTAGGGATTAGAGTTATATTTTTAAATGACAACTAAAAACTAAAATTTTGATAATGATTTCAAATTAAAAGTTTGAAAATGCAAAGTCCTAAGTTGAATAGTGCAATATATATCGGTCTAGGTCAATTATATCATTATATTTTTTGGTTTTGACATTTAAATTTAAAAATAAAAAGTTCAGATCTAGTGGTTAGAATTAAATTGTAATTAAATTAAAAAAAATAATTAGAACATAAGCTTAAAATTAAATTATGATTTATCTTATTATATTTTCGTGGTTTGTTTTTATTTTCAGTATATTCGGTTTATTATTTAAATATTTATATTATAATTACATTAAACATTTGTAAGAAATAGTACTTAGATATTATTTTGAGTTCATTCAAATATTATGATAATTTTTAGAATCAACCATCCAGTTTTATTATATATATATATATATATAATATTTCTACAAAAATAATTTTTTAAACTCAAATAGCTTACGCAACACGCAACGCTATTTACGCTACGCAGTATAAAGACCAAAACGCGACACATTACGCTATACGTGTTTTAAAATACTGCTTGTACATGGAGTCCATGCCAATGACCCAGGGGTACGCTCTAAGTGTCTTTTTAGACTCTGGATGGACCAAGAACAAGTGAGTTAGCTTCTTTGTATCATGATGTCTAAGTGATTGAATATCATATTCGTTGTCCTTAGCCAACTTGTAGAATTGTTGTATCATACTCCTTTTCTCAAATGAGGCCCTCCGGAGCTTTGCCTTGTAGTTGTAAATTGTCTGATGTGACAATTGTCCTCCGTAAATGATTGTTGAACAACCAACAATATGTTTTGCGGCTTTGTTTGAGAAAGAACCATCGACCGAATAAGTCTTTTTGCTCCAACACTTAGACAACTCATTTGTCGATGTCCCTCTG